ACCCGGGGGAAACCGGGGCCGGCCCCGCCCCTGGCGCGCGGCGCACTGGAGGCGCCGGCCCCAGGAGCGTGACACGCACCGGCACCTGGTGCGCGGGCGGCCCCAGCCCTGGCCCTGGGGCACATGCTGGCGCTGGGTGTAATGGAATCTCCACCCCTGGCGTGCCCCAGGACGCACGGCCCCGCCCCCGGGCGCCCGGCGCGAGTGTGGCCCCGCCCCCGGGCGCCCGGCGCGAGTGTGGCCCCGCCCCCGGGCGCCCGGGAGCCCGTAAAGGTTGGGGACCACTGGTCTAGACTACAGGGTTTTGTCGACAGATACTGTCGACAAAGCTTCTGTCGACAAAGAGCGTCTAGACTACATTCAGTTCTGTCGACAAAGCAAGCTGCTTTGTCGACAGAACTCCGTAGTCTGGACGCAATGTTACAGGCAATAACACCTTCTGTCGACAGAGTTCTGTCGACAGAAGGCGTTATGCCTCGTAAAATGAGGTTTACCAGCGTCGACAAAACTGCTGAGTTCTGTCGACGTTATGTCGACAGAACTCAGCGGTAGTGTAGACGCAGGTATAGTTTTGTTGACAAAAGTCCACTTTCGTCGACAAAACTCTGTAGTCTAGACACACCGTAAGTTATTCTGCCTGGGGCTCCAAATCATTAGGGAAGCCTGCCTTGGACTAATTTTGAGGCTTTTCTGCAGTGTAGACATTCTATTTTAAATAAGCTATTTGTCTGTGTCTAGACTAGCAAGTTTTTCCGCAAAATCAGATGATTTTGCGGAAAAACTTGCCAGCTGTCTACATTGGCCGCTTGAATTTCCGGAAAAGCACTGACGCTCTCCTGTAAAATCATCAGTGCTTTTCTGGAAAAACTATGCTGCTCCCGTTCAGGCAAAAGTCTTTTTCCGAAAGACTTTTGCACAAAAGGGCCAGTGTAGACAGCATAGTAATGTTTTCCGAAAAAAAGCCCTGATCGCGAAAATGGCGATCGGGGCTTTTTTGTGGAAAACTGCGTCTAGATTGGCCACGGACACTTTTCCGCAAAAAGTGCTTTTGCAGAAAAGCATCCTGTCAATCTAGAAGCGCTTTTCCGAAAATGCTTTTAACGGAAAACTTTTCCGTTAAAAGCATTTTCAGAAATTCATGCCAGTGGAGACGTAGCCTTTCAGAATAACTATTCCGGAATAGCTTAGTCTGAAATAACTCTTAGCCTGGGAGTTAATCCAGCTCCTTATGTACATGCATTATGTTACAGTCTTTGATTTCATGATTACTTACCATTTGTTTCTACCTAACCCCATTTCATTCTGTGCAGAGACTGGCCTGTGCACCAGGGATGTATCAGGATTGTACAGTGAATGAGGTTTTGGTTTGTTGGACCCCTGCCCATGAGCCAGCCCTCTTCCAGGCCACTCCAACTCCTTAGGGTCCTTTATCCTGCTTTCCTAATATGGGAGCTAGCTCCATGCCTGCGGGAGCCTGTGTTGGCTCTCCAGATGCTCTCAGGGTGGGTGGGACTTGAATTCACCACCCTATGTTGCCTAGATGAATGCATTATCCCCTAAGCTACCCCAGTGTAGAAGTTGGAAGATAGAGAATGACATAGGATTGCAAAAAAATAAAGTATGGCCTTTATTCTAGCATTTCCTGACTTCTGTGCGCTCCTCTTTAAAAACTTAATAGTCTTTTAATGGAGTTTTTGAGTGTAGTTTCTACAGTATGACTTTTATAAAAGGGTCATGTACACAATATCAAATGAGGATTTTATATTTTAACATATTACAGGAGGTCCATCTTGTGTTCATGTGTTAATATTGCAAATGTTTGAAACAACAGAGTAATCTTTTGCTTTTATAAATGAGTTATTGTTTCTGAAAGTATTTATCAATAAGAAATGGCCTGTTTCCCAAACAAATACAAAATTGTATTTTCATAGTGGTTTTACTTAAAATGCTGTGTATATAAATCCTGCACTAGCATGGAAAGGCTTCAGGAATTTCTTTGAGTTGGAGTGGCTCTGCTCTTCCCCCAGCCTTCTGCCCACAAATCATATCAGAATTGGGAGGAGGGGGAGTTAAAAAGATAACATCCCATTCCGATGAGGGCACCCCTGGTATGGGAACAGACCGTTGAGCTTCTCCAGCTCAGGAGAGGGGATTGATAACCTGCAGACTCCCTGCCTTTGCAAAAGGAGAGTGAAGAACACATAGCCTAAAGCGGATGTCCTACCACAGAAATATTCATAGCAGATAAAAAATTGGAACAAAGTAGCAGACTTGAATACTTTTTGAATTTCTCCAACTTTAGGTAGGACAATAAAAAACAAAAAACAAAAAACATGTGTATTATAGAACTATGTCTAAATTAATCCTTCACCTTCTTTTTAATCTCAAAACTTAAATTCAATTCATAAGAACATATGAACAGCCATAGTATGTCAGACCAAAGATCCATCTAGCCCAGTATCCCATCTTCTGACTGTGGCCAGTGCCAGATGCCCCAGAGGGAATGAATAGAACAGGTAATCCTCAAGTGATCCATCCCTTATCGCCCATTCGCAGCTTCTAACAAACAGACGCTAGGAACACCATTCCTACCCATCCTAGCTTATAAATATTGATGGACATAACCTCCACGAATTTATGTAGTTCTTTTTTGAACCCTGCTAAAGTCCTGGTCTTCACAATGTCCTGTTACAAGGAGTTCCACAGGTTGATTGTGTGCTGCATGAAGAAAAACTTCCTTTTGTTTTAAACCTGCTACCTATTAAGGTCATTGTTGCCCCTAGTTCTTATGTTATGGAAACAAGTAAATAACTTTTCCATATTCACTCTCTCCATATCTGCCATGATTTTATTGACCTCTATTACATCCCACCTTAGTATCCTCTTTTCTAAGCTAAAAAGTCCCGGTCTTCTAAATCTCTCTGTCTCTGTGCTGCCGCTGCTTCCAAAAGCAGCTGCAGCCAGCATGTCCCTGCAGTCTGAGGAGGGGTAGGGAAACCGGTGGTTCCGTACCCTGCCCTCGCCAGCCAATGTGAACTGTGGGAAACAGCCCATGAAAGGCAGAGTGCTGATCTTCCCTAATCGCTGCAAGCCAGCAGTGGAGAACGAAGGCTCAGGGCCTCAGGCCTGTAGGGCAGAGACTTGCCACAGGCTGGATGAAATTAAGCAGAAGGCTGGATCCAGCCCATGGGGCAGAGGTTTCCTATCACTGTGCTAGAACTGCTCCACAAAAGAGTTGTGAGAATTTTTTAACATGGCAGAAAACAATGTATTATTCCCTAAATTTGTTCTGAGAAATGGCTGAACTAGTTTTGCTGAAGGTTTCAATAAAGAGAAATCACACTGAGGCAAACATCAAGTGTAGAACATTTCTGTTCAAATGCTTAGAGTGGGATCCTCAAATGAAAATAATGAAGAAATTATTGAAAAATAATATCTTTATATTTCTTTCTGTTTGTTTAGAATATGCGACTCTCCAGAATGTGATAAAGGGTCTAAGACAAACAATTGAAAATCAGTGTAATCTGAGAGGTAAACAAACACAATCAAAATCCTGTAAAGTATACTGCCTTACATTATAGAACAAATATACATCTGCTGCATAAATAAGGAGATTTCTAGTTTACATTTAATCCTTTTGTTAGGCCAATATCTAACTTCTCATCAGAAACAACAAAATTAAATTGAAAAAGAAACAAACTTGATAGATCCTATCATTTCATTGCATTTTTGGTTTGTTTTTTATTTCTTAGCAGCACAAGAAATTTTGCAAGTAAGCAAGGTAATGTAAATTACTTTTTTAAGTGCTTTGCAATTCTGGAAAGCATTTAATCATGCTTTAGTAATTTACTGGGGGTACGTCTATACTACAGGCTTTTGTCGACAGAAGTTTTGTCGACAAAGCTTCTGTCGACAAAGAGCATCTAGACTACATTCAGTTCTGTCGACAAAGCAAGCTGCTTTGCCGACAAAACCCTGTACACTAGACACAACCCTAGATGCAATAACACCTTCTGTCAACAGAACTCTGTCGACAAAAGGCGTTATGCCTCTTAAAATGAGGTTTACCAGCGTCGACAAAACTGCTGAGTTCTGTCGACGTTATGTTGACAGAACTCAGTGGTAGTGTAGACGCAGGTATAGTTTTGTCGACAAAAGTCCACTTTTGTCGACAAAACTCTGTAGTCTAGACACAACCTGGGTCTAGGCCTTAGTTCCTAAATTGCAGCTGCCTTCCAGAAATACCTAATCTAGGTAGCAGTTATTGTTAGATATTATTCTGAAATTACATTACAAATATATTTATCATTATTAGTCTTATTTTGATACATATCATAATTAGAAGCAGACTGTATATGAAAACTATGTGGATTTCTGTAAAATCTCTGCTTCTCCTGAATTGTCACTTGTCCATGTTACTACTTACAACTTAAATATAAAGCCAGAGCTCCTTATTCATAGAATATGAAGAGCCAGCACAAACTCTGTGTGCTTGCTAAGTGCTCCTTGAGCCTGTGGATTTAAGTGGTACAGGCAATCCCCGGGTTACGTACAAGATAGGGACTGTAGGTTTGTTCTTAAGTTGAATCTGTATGTAAGTCAGAACTGGAGTCCAGATTCAGCCGCGGTTGAAACTGATCAGTTTCAGCAGCGGCTGGAGCCAGGTCTGGCCTTACATACAGATTCAACTTAAGAACAAATCTACAGTCCCTATCTTGTACGTAACCCGGGGACTGCCTGTATATATATATTTAGGGCTGTCAATTGACATACGTTAACACCTGCGATTAACACAGTCCAAGTTTAATGCATTACATTTTGTAACACGTTAATCGCAGGCGTTAATGCTGCACTGCCCCTCTGAAGTACTGCTGTGGTGCTTCAAAGGGGCAGCTCAATGTTGAGCCTGGGGTCAGCTGTAGAGTCCCCAGCTGACTCCGGGCTCCACTGCCCCTTTGAAATGTGCAGAGGCGGCGTTTCAAAGGGCCAGCCGCCTCACAGCTGATCTGGGGCTCCCCCGCTGACCCCAGGTTCCGCTGGC